GGAATGTACATGCATGATTGATTAGAGAACAAACATTGCTATTCCCTTTGATGACATCCCATTGAGCACTATCAAGACCCTATCTAGTCTGCCAATGTGAAACATTAAAGATGACTCCATGCAACAGACATCTAGAGTTCGCTCCTTGTGTTCTGCTCTCCCTCAACCTTTATTGTGACTGAGTTTTCTATCCTTATGCATCAACTCATAATATATGATATACAATCCATGTGCTGTCTTACTTTAAAGGGACACTATAGTCGCTAGAACCACTACAGCCTCATCTTGTAGTTCTGCTGTCTTTAGCATGTAAAAAGCCATTAGGCTTTTTAATGTAAACACTACCTTTTCAGAGAAATTGCAGTATTTACATTGCTCCCTAGTAACACCTCTAGTGGCAGTTACTCAGATGGTCACAAGAGGTACTTCATAGTCCAGTGCTCTGCAGTGTGCAACCCTCCCCCCACCCCCTCCCCCCCGAACAGTGTCACTGAATGCTCCCAATAGAGATGCATTGATTCAATGCATTTCTATGTGGAGACGCTGAATGGCGCAGGTGGCATTTTACTGCGCATGCACAATAGGCTCCTAGTGCTTTCTTATGGGAAAGCACTGAATTGGCTGAGATTATCAAGATTGATGATCTCAGCCATGGAGGTAGAGTCAGGCTGGATTCAAAATCTAAGAGTAAACAATATAAATTCTTAATCTTTTTGTCACATGGGATATCACACTAAAACAGAAGCCAGAGAAAGAGAAACCCTCATCGTCTATAATAAAATGAATAGTCTACTGACGGCTTGTCAAAAATGGGTTTCAATAAACATAATTCTACCGGAACGTTAGGATCCATAATTAACATGTAATCACATTACACTTTATCAATAGCCAGTAGTTATTTTCCATGTATTTGTATTTTTCAAGTTTAAAATGATCAGTCATTATCTGATTCCATTTCCATCACTTGAGATACTGCAGAGAGCTATTATGGACATGTTCCAAATTATTGACAATTACTATTTTTTTCTAACTTGAAGATCTAGAATGTAAGCTCACTGAGCAGGGCCCTCCACCCCCTCTGTTCCTGTACGTCCAACTTATCTGTTACAATTACATGTCTGTTAGTCCACCCATTGTACAGCGCTACGGAATCTGTTGGTGCTATATAAATAATAAAATAATAATAATTAATTGTGGTTAAATATATAAACATCTTGGTACACTGTAACCAGTTCAGATGTTGGGTTAACATTAGCCCCAAGGGAGGAACCTACATGGTGATGTGAGGGGTTCAGAAAATAAGTCAGTTACAAAATTCTACCCATTCTGCATCATTTCCCTACCCTCCCCCCCTCTCCACTTGGTGACAGGTGAAGCTGCAATTTGTTTTAAAAATGATGCAGGGCATCAAAGAGTGGTTAGGGGAATTCCTAGCTTCCAAAAATACATAGGGCTTGAATTCAAAGCAAAATGTAATGACCCCCTAACCTGAGACTCCATCTTAGGAGCCATATTCCCACCATTCTACACAAAGCTTGCCAACCAAAAGAGGAACAATGGAGCCATTCTGCTCAGCAATGCCCTCCTAACTGCCACCTCAGTAAGACTGCCTCCTCACCCTAAACTAGCCGGGGGGAGCACTATACTAGTCAACATTTTCTGTCTCAGGCAGTCGCTTTAAGAGTCAGCTGCCTGATGTAAACACTAGTTTCCTGCTGCTCCTGTAGAGATCTGGAGCTTCCCTTCTTTCTAATTAAACAGAAGTGAAATTGGGTCGCTCTACTGCCATCATCTGGCATACTGTGTGTTAAATTTTTAATAATAACCAGTAAGGGACCCTGGAACCAGAGAAGAACAGAGAACAGAACATGCAATGTTCAGCCTTCACCAATATACCCCATTGTACAGCACTGCGGAATTTGTCGGCGCTATATAAATAGTAATAAATATTATAATAATATACTACTAGGATTTAGCATCCAGTTCACTTTTCCTGCTTGAGTGACTTCCTAATTCTGGATACATATTTAAGGGGTGCTACAGTTTAACAACCCCGTATAAGTAAGTGAATTAACGCTGTTTGATTATTTCATGTTCCTGAAAGTATTTTGTACATTGGACCAATATAAAAGAATTAAAACATACAAACATAAAATGTGAATAAAGCACACTTATATGCTGATACAAACATAAAAGCAAAACATACCTAACAGCATATCGCCATCTGCACCAGCAAGTGCAATGCATAAGTTGATCATACTGTTTGGTATAAACCCGGCCTTAAAATGTGGTGGAGGTGGAGCTGGAGGAATACTTCCAGGGTGTATTTTAAAAATACAGAATAGGTGTGGCTGGAAACAATGGCGCTATTTAATATAAAGTGAAATTTTAAGTCTACACATGCCTTATGTCAATCATTCTCTTCCATCTCTCAATCCACGAGTCAATTTTCCAAGCCCCACAGCTCTCATCTGCTCTCTTACTAATCACACACTCTGGATCCTCTCTGTTCAGGACTCATTTGTCCACTCATCTCCTCTCTCCCTTACTAGCAGGTAGAAGCAGGCTCCGGGTATGACAGAGAAAGACGTGGATGTTGTGAGTGCAGTAGAAAGTGCACTTGCCACACTATCGCATCATGACAAGAGGATGTTGGGCTGTTAGAGAGATAAACGCAGTTTGGGGAAGGCCCTTTTCTATGCCAGCATGACTGTGCCCCAGTGCACAAAGTAAGGTCCATAAATATACGGTTAGGTGTGTTTTGTGTGGAAGAACTTGATTGGACTGCACAGAGCCCTGACCTCAACCCCATAGAACACTTTTGGGATGAACTGGAACGAAGATCTTTCAACATCCGTGCCTGACCACAGAAGTGCTCTACTGGATGAATGGGCAAAAATAATTCTCAAATATACACTTCTGGAAAGCCTTCCCAGAAGAGTGAAAGCTGTTAGAGCTGAAAAGGGGGTCTAGAGTGTGTTGACATAAAAGTCCCAGTTGGTGTAATGGTCAGGTATCCAAATACTTTTGTCCATATAGTGTGTGTGTGTGTGTGTGTGTGTGTGTTTATATAAATATATACATACACACACACATACCTCCAAAGAGTCAGACAGATCCTGAAGTCCCAGCTCAATGGCAAGAACAAAATCCAAGCTATCAACACATATGCCCTACTGATCATCAGGTACTGTAAAATATTCTATATTTTGGAAATGTCTTTTACATACATACATTTCACACGGAGGTGTGGTTGGTCTTGAGTGACATGAACAAATGACAATAAGTGTTGTAAGCTCTTCTCTATTTCTGAGTGTCCATGGAACATGGGATGGCCTAATAAGGAATTGTCAACAAGTATATTGTATCAATAGCATTGACTTGTAATTCTTCCACAGCCATTTTAGTGGTATATATGTAGAATGTATTATCTCTGTAAGAGGGAATCTAGGAGAATGAGACACAGACACTGAGACACAGAGCATCAAGGGCAGAGTGTCTTCCCACTCTGAATGTCCAGCATGTACCATCAGCTGTTGACCTACCGTATTTTTCGCTCCATAAGACGCACCTCACCATAAGACGCACCTAGTTTTTAGAGGAGGAAACCCAGAAAAAAAAAATATTCTGAACAAACTGTTCCATAGTGTTTCTTACCATGGGACGGTTTGTTCAGAATATTTTTTTTTCTCCCCTGTCCCATAATGATCTTTAACCCCCCTTTCCTCTGTCCCATAGTGATTGTTAACCCCTCCTCTGTCCCATAGTGATTGTTAACCCCTCCTACCCTGTCCCATAGTGATTGTTAACCCCTCCTACCCTGTCCCATAGTGATTGTTAACCCCTCCTACCCTGTCCCATAGTGTTCTTTAACCCCTCCTCCCCTTGTCCATTAGTGTTCTGATCCCATAGTGTCCCCCCCCTTCCATTGTCCCATAGTGCACTTTCCCTCCCATAGTGTCCCCCCCTCCCCTTGTCCCATAGTGTCCCCCCTCCCCTTGTCCCATAGTGTCCCCCCTCCCCTTGTCCCATAGTGTCCCCCCCTCCCCTTGTCCCATAGTGTCTCCCCTCCCTTTCTCCCATAGTGTCCCCCTCCCCTTGTCCCATAGTGTCTCCCCCCCTCCCCTTGTCCCATAGTGTCTCCCCCTACCTTTCTCCCATAGTGTCTCTCCCCTCCCTTTCTCCCATAGTGTCTCCCCTCCCTTTCTCCCATAGTGTCTCCCCCTCCCCTTGTCCCATAGTGTCTCCTCCCTCCCCTTGTCCCATAGTGTCTCTTCCCCTCCCCTTGTCCCATAGTGTCCTCCCCTTGTCCCATAGTGTCCCATAGTGTCTCCCCTCCCTTTTTGTCCCATAGTGTCTCCCCTCCCCTTGTCCCATAGTGTCTCCCCCTCCCCTTGTCCCATAATTACTTACCTGTCTTGGAGCGTGGGCCGGCTTCACAGCGCGCTCCGCGGTCCAGGAACTTCTATTTCAGGTTCCGGTTTCCGGCGGGACTGAAAGGAAGTGTGCACACTGAGTGTGCACCTCCTTTCAGTCCCGCCGGAAACCGGAACCTGAAATAGAAGTTCCTGGCCGCGGAGCGCGCTGTGAAGCCGGCCCACGCTCCAAGACAGGTAAGTAATTGTTCACATTCGCTCCATAAGACGCACAGACATTTCCCCTCACTTTTGAGGGGGAAAAAAGTGCGTCTTATGGAGCGAAAAATACGGTATTTAACATCAATAATATTGTAAGTACTGACTTTGTATTTGCGAAGCAAGAAGAATAAATCTCATTTATAAGAAAAGCCAGGAATGTCTGATTGCGTTATACTTTTAAGTGACATAGAAGAACTATAATATGCATGATACAAGGCGAGCCATCCAACAATAAGAAAGAAGAATTTACATACATATATATGAATAAGTATGAATAAGTATCAAGCAGATTAATTAATTATTTATTTATTTTTTTATTTTTTTAATTCTTTATTTTGGTTGTGCATAGAATATACAGGTATGCTTGCATTGCCACAACAGCTGGTGCAGGCTTTACTAACATTGCACATTTTTATGAGTTAATATAGCATTATAGAAACTAGCTATGATGAATAATGTAAAATCACTGAGTTATGGAATGTTTTAAAATCACACTTGGGGTATAGAATGAAAGAGGGTAGGGTCAAGTATGCACATCAAGTACTGTTCACGATATTTCGATTTTAAGAGTTTACATCCTGTACATAGCGTCTAATAGCTCGAGATCGTTTCCGCTTGCAATTATTACATGTTGTACAACATTCAATACTGTTCTCGGCATCTTTATACATCAGTTTAATACTGTTTACTACTGTTCTCGGCATCTTTATACGTCATTTTTATTTTATAGAAAAAAAAAAAAAAAAAAAGAAAATAACAAAGACATATAGTAGTTAGCTTTCTAATGTGACGTGTTTTGTTCCTACCAATATGTGACAGGACTCCTTCATAGGAATTTAATACCCACTAGTACATTAAGAGAAACATTTTTCTTTTGATAGTGGGACAATAACTGGACAACAACCTAAAAACTGATGAAACAAACCTTTGCTAAATAACCGAGTCTCTGAGTGTCCTACAAGCCTTGAGTTTGCATGGCTATTGTGTCCAGTGCTTCCTCAGATGTTCTTTCAGTTGAGGAATGGTCGAGTGCGGCTGCTTGCACACGTGGCATTGCAGAGGAGATTTCAGGAGCTCGGGCCACCCGGCCTTCACGGTCACTCTGCCATTCTGCTTTACCATCTCATCACATCTGGTGATTATCGTGGGTTAACCTTTTGCTTGTTCAGGTCTGTAGGGTATTGTGTGGGTGCTGTTTGCTCCTCTTCCTCTCCGCCCTGGTGTTGCTCTCTCGGTTCTCAGACTCCCAATTCTCGGTCTCGCCCACCCCGTCCGTGGGTGCTTGCAGCTGCAGCTGGAGGGCCTGGAGGAATCCTGCCGGGTTTTCATCCGCAGACAGTGTGAGGATTGAGTCCTTTTGTGGGACCACTAGTGTGCCTGCTGCTCCCCACCGGTATCTGATACCCTTGTCTCTCAGTTGGCGGGTGATTGCCATAAATTTTCTCCGCTCCATCAGGGTTGTGAATGGGATATCAGCGAAAACTTGCACGTGGTGGTTGTCCACGGCTACGGTGGGGGTCTTCCTGGAGGAGGCCATCAGTGCCGCTTTAACCGTGACGTCTTGGGTAACGGCTATGATGTCTCTCGGTGCGTCCGCTGGGGCGGTCGGAGCTTTCCGAATTCGGAACGCTGTTGTAATCGGCCATGTGTCTCCCTCCTTTTTTGCACCCATCACCATGGCCACTTTGTTTGCGTAGGCCAATAAGGTTTCTGGGTTAATGTCCTCCGGGGCTCCGCGTATGCGGACATTTCTTCTGCGGTGGCGCGTCTCCATCTCCGTGACTGTGCGAGTGAGTCTTTGGAGTTGGAGTGTCAGTGCATCCGTTTGCTTTCTGGAGTCAGTCAGTAAGGCGTCTCTTTGGCCTTCTCGGGTTTCCACTGCCTCCAGGCGCCCCTTCATGTCTGCCACTTCCGTCCTCACACCGGCCAGGTCCGACCTCCACATTTCCCGGAGGTCTAGGAGGAGCTTTTTTATGTCGCCCTTTGTGGAAGGCGAGTCATCAGAGTCAGATGTCTCCGACCTGTATAATGTGGCGGCCGGGGTCGCGTTCTGGGAGTTCTCCTCCTCCATAGACGAGTCGGACTCGCTGGCGTTTCGGGGCCTACTCGCCGCCATCTTGGCCTGTGCAGCCTGCTGTGGCTTCTCAAAGGATCGCCTAATGTCAGGTTGGTGTGAGCTTTCTAGGCGGGCGATTTTCTTGTTTTTCTTCCCCATCTCTCTGTAGGGGGGTCTAATACTTGCTGTTGCTCGGTTTTTGGAGTCTCAGTTTGGTATATTCGTGGCTTTTGGATCAATTTTAGATTAGTGAAGCAGGAGCTCCACATAAACACGTCTTGTGTGCTGCTCTGCTAGCCACGCCCCCCAGATTAATTATTTTAAGAGTCCACCTTTTTATTACAGGTACCTAGCTTGAATAATAACCTGGCCAAGAGAAGAACTGGTCACCATGGATGTCAAGACCAGAAAACTATTCACTATGAATAGAAGATTCCATCCGAAATCCAGCATCCAGAGACTGTACACCTGAAGTCTCACCACTCAATTTTCCACCATTTAGGAGTTAAATCACTTTTGTTTCTGTTTATGCAGGCATAGCCACACCTCCACTGACTGTGACTCCACTGACATAGCCTGCATGAAAAGAAATGGATTCACTTTCAATCAGATGTAACTTACTTTAAAAGATTTTATTTCCTGCTGAGTAAATTGATCTTTAATTACATACAAGAGGCTTCTGCAGGGCATAGAAAGCTATTAACAGAGCAGAAGATAAGAAATTCTAAATTAAACAGTATTTTCCATACAGGAAGTGTAAACATTAGATGACTCTTTGCAGGAAGTGTTGGAAGGCTGTGTAAGTCACATGCATGGATGTGTGACTAGGGCTGCATAAACAAAGTGCTTTAACTCCCAAATGGCAGAGAAGTGAGCAGTGAGACTGCAGGGGCTTGATCTACACTCCCAAACTACTTAATTAAGCTAAAGTTGTTTTGGTGACTATAGTGTCCCTTTAAATTTCACTTTCTGTAAATTTATTTTTCCATAATCCAAGCGGCAGTCATAACAAGTGGGATGTAGTTGCCCATTTCTCACATGACAGATAGCCTTGAAAAGGTTAAAACAACAAAATGCAGTCCCCACCCCAAGTCTCCTCCCCTCCTAGCCTCATAACGGGCAACTCCACCCTGAGCTCCCCAGTATATAACAAGCGAATAGAATGATATAGGTTTACATAAAAAATTTTAAACTATGGAAAAATAAATTTACAGAATATAGGTATATATATATAAAATATAGGTTTTTCCAAACATCCAAGCGGCAGTCATAAAAAGTGGGATGATATAGCAAGATAAAAACACAGGACGGGAACAATTTTACTTAGAGAACCCACCATACAGGAGCCTGTGGATTATTGCTCCTGAATCACAAAGAATAACCATCTTCAGCTGATGGGACTGCCTACTGGAGTAATTCTGGAACAATACCAGTATTAAACTGTAAGTTAAAACCTTATTCGTATCTGCGGATAAGAAAATACACAGTTAGTAATCAGCTTTTCCAGAGCTCAAATCCAAATGTGACATAAAACACTTATTTAAATATGCATATGAATGGAAATAAACAGTTATACAGATATAACCCAAGATTTGGAGGAATCATATACTCTCTAGACATGTGCAATTCGTTTCGGTCCGAATATGAATTTGGACGAATTTCGGGCAATTCGGCCATTCGGGTACTTGAATGATCGAATAGATGAATTGCCGAAATCCCGAACTTCCGAAATTACCGAATTTCCAAAGTGTCGAAGTGTCAAAGTTCCGAAGCACAGTATTGCTAAAGAACTAATATACTTACCTGGTGGAAGAATGAAGAATGTTACACTGTATACAATTTTAAATAAAAAGTATACAAATATAGCCAGGACTCAGCTGTAAGCATTTGCAACACTTACAACAATCAAGTAACACATTCATATAAAAAGTAAGTTACTTAGCCAGTCAATGTAATGACAGGAATGAATAAGTAGTAGATAACTCCCTAATTCCCATGGTATCAGGGGTTTGGGGACCCCTAGTCACCTGTTGGGTGGTCAGTTATTATTTAGGGCCCCCACCCGCCACCCAGGGGTGGGGGCCAGGGTGGAGGACAATAGGTCCCCCCCCTAATTGATATTTAGGGCCCCCACCCACCGCTCAGGGGTGGGGGCCAGGGGGGAGGACAATAGGTGTCCCCCCATTATTTTACTTTAGGGCCCCCAACCGCTGCTCAGGGGTAGGAGCCGGGGGAAGGACAATAGGTTGTCCCCCCTTATTCTGAATTCGGGCCCCCACCCGCCGTTGAGGGGTGGGGGCCGGGGGGAGGACAATAGGTCCCCCCCCATTATTTTACTTTAGGGCCCCCAACCGCTGCTCAGGGGTAGGAGCCGGGGGGAGGACAATAGGTTGTCCCCCCTTATTCTGAATTCGGGCCCCCACCCGCTGCTGAGGGGTGGGGGCCGGGGGGAGGACAATAGGTGTCCCCCCATTATTTTACTTTAGGGCCCCCAACCGCTGCTCAGGGGTAGGAGCCGGGGGGAGGACAATAGGTTGTCCCCCCTTATTCTAATTTAGGGCCTCCACCCACCGCTCAGGGGTGGGGGCTAGGGCGAGGACATTAGGTCCCCCCCCAATTGGTATTTAGGGTCCCCACCCTCCGCTCAGGGGTGGGGGGCAGAGGGGAGCACAATAGGTTCCCCCTCTTATTCTAATTTAGGGCCCCCACCCACCGCTCAGGGGTGGGGGCCAGGGGGGAGGACATTAGGCCCCTCCCCTAATTGATATTCAGGGCCCCCACCCACTGCTCAGGGGTGGGGGCCGGGGGATGACATTAGGTCCCCCCTTATTCTAATTTAGGGTCCCCACCCTCCGCTCAGGGGTGGGGGGCAGAGGGGAGCACAATAGGTTCCCCCTCTTATTCTAATTTAGGGCCCCCACCCACCGCTCAGGGGTGGGGGCCAGGGGGGAGGACATTAGGCCCCTCCCCTAATTGATATTCAGGGCCCCCACCCACTGCTCAGGGGTGGGGGCCGGGGGATGACATTAGGTCCCCCCTTATTCTAATTTAGGGCCCCCACCCACCGCTCAGGGGTGGGGGGTAGAGGGGAGGACAATAGGCCCGCCTTATTCTGATTTAGGGCCCCCACCCGCCGCTCAGGGGTGGGGGGCGTGGGGGGAGAACAATAGGCCCCCCCTTATTTTACTTTAGGGCCCCCATCCGCCCCTCAGGGGTGGGGGCCGGGGGGGAGGACAATAGGTCCCCCCTTATTCTGATTTAGGGCCCCCACCTGTGGCTCAGGGGTGGGGGCCAGGAGGGGAGGACAATAGGTCCCCCCCTTATTTTACTTTAGGGCCCCCACCTGCCGCTCAGGGGTGGGGGCCGGGGGGCGGACAATATGTCCCCCCTTATTCTAATTTAGGGCCCCCACCCAACGCTCATGGGTGGGGGCCGGGTTGAAGACAATAGGTCCCCCCCCCTTATTTTACTTAAGGGCCTCCAGGAGTGGGGGCCGGGGGCGACAGGTCCCCCCTTCAGGTTAGAAGCCCCCACTCGCATGGAACATTTGGGGGCTCGGGAGGGGGGACGTGTTTCTTTTTTTTGTTTTTTTACAGTGAGCAGCCACAGGCACTGTTTACCAGACATGCCCCTACTCCCGGTATAGCGTGTAGGGGCATAATTTACTAATACTAAGTAATCTTTACTTAGTATTAGTAAATGTGGCTGAAAGACCAATTCAGCCTTTTAGTAGAGAGCTCCCTAATACCGTGGGACTTAGGGAGTTATCTACTTATTCATTCCTGTCATTCCATTAACTGGCTAAGTAACTTACATTTTACATGAATGTGTTACTTGATAGTTGTAAGTGTTGCAAATGCTTAGAGCTGAATCCTGGCTATGTTTGTATACTTTTTATTTAAAATTGTATACAGTGTAACATTCTTCATTCTTCCACTGGGTAAGTATATTAGTACTTAGCAGGGGCGTACCTAGAGCATATGGCACCTGGGGCGGGTCCTCGTTTTGGCACCCCCCCACCTCCCCCAGCACTTTAAAATTTAAAAAACACCCACAAATTTTTTTATGTATGTAGCATTGAGCAGTGCTTGCGTGTTTCAATGTAAGCATGTTTTTGTATGGAGTAAGTGTGAGTGAATGTAGGGCATGCATTTGTGTGTAGTGTTGGCGAGATGCAGTGGTGTGGTTATATATAATGGTGATGTTTTAATACAGAGGTGTGTTTGTATGTAGTGTTTACACTGGAATGCAGGGATGTGTTTGTGTGTCGTGTTGGCAAGATGCTGAGATGTATGCAGATATATACACACTGACACACATGCAGATACAGACACACACATTTACACACATGCAACTACACAGACACACATACAGATACACAATGCCATCCTCCTGTTTCGTACCTGCTGGCTGAGGCTGTTGGGAGCTGGTCTCCAGTTCTCTCCCAATCAGTGCCGCCCTCCATCCTGCGTGTCTCAGTGTTAGCTGGGAGGAAGTGACTGAATTTCACTTCCCCCAGGGCTGCTTTTACATTATTACAGAAGCCTGGTCGCACCACTAAAACACCACAGTGCACAACAGGGCCCCTGAAGCAGTGGTGACTCTAGGAACAATTTAGGGGAGGCACATAAACAGTGGGGGCTGGGAGCATTAATAATTTTGACTAGGTAATGGGGTAATGTGCTGCCATTGGCTGTCTGAAGACAGCATGTTGAGCATGCTGGCATCAGACAACACATTTGCATAGAATTCGCATTAGCCACCTAGATTTCTGGGATGGCTGACACCTTTTAACTTTGATCTTTGTTTAGCGGGTAACTCCCCTATTTCTTATCCTTATGTGGGATTGCCATTTTTAAGGACACCAAATAAGTGAGCTATCTGCTAAACAGAACCCTAATTTGGTATCTTTACATATGGAATCTCACATAAGGCCACCAATTTAGGGAATTCTCTAGTAAACAGCTAAAAGATCAAAATTTAAAAAGCCCTTTTCTTAATTTTAATCTTTAGGTTGTTTAGTAGATAACTCACGTATTTGTTATCCTTATATGGGATTGACATATTTAAGGACACCAAATTAGGGAGCTATCTACTAAACACATACACAACCACAGATATACACACGCATTTAGTTATTAAGGTCCAACCAACCTCCCCACCTTGCTCTGGGAGTGACTAGCGGTTGCTGCTGGGCTAGGATCTCTGTGCTCTTCCTGCACAGCTCACTTGCACAACCAGTAGTGATGCCGATGCCGCAATGACGTCATACCCCGGCTGCTGGCTTACTGCAGGGCGCACAGAAACTCCTATAAGGTGACTGAGGGAGGGGGTGACAGGGCGACTGAGGGAGGGGGTTACAGAGTGACGGGGTGACAGGGTGACTGAGGGAGGGAGTGACTGGTGACAGAGGGGGGTGACTGAGGGAGGGGGTGACTGGTGACAGAGGGGATGACTGAGGTGACTGGTGACAGAGTGAGGGGTGACAGGGTGACTGAGGGAGGGGTGACTGGTGACAGTGTGACTGGGGGGGTGACTGGTGACAAAGTGACTGAGGGGGGGTGACGGGGGGGGTGACTGATGACAGAGTGACTGAGGGGGGGGGTTACAGGGTGACTGAGGGAGGGGGTGACAGGGTGACTGAGGGAGGGTGAATTAAAAATAATATTATCTTACCATTCCGGGGCTGTCTTTCTCCATCCCAGCCCAGGGTCAGGCAGTGCAGCAGGTGCAGGCAGAGTGGCCGCGCAGGGGAGAAACCTTGCAGAATACACGCTCTGTGCCCCCTGCTGGTACACTCCATAACAATCTCCCTGGTGCTCAGTGATGACTCAGAACACAGTCTGGGAATCCCCTCCCTGTGTTCAGACTCACTGACAGAGCGCCGGAGCCGCGAGGGAGAGGATTATTATTGCGAACCAGCAGAAGGTACAGAGTGTGGCACCCCCCTACTGAGTGGAA